TAAGCTGCATGTTCAGGAAGAAACTGGCTGCAACACGATCAGTAGGGAAACTGCTACGTGTGCTCCTAGCTCACACAGCCAAACGCAAGCACAAATACCACCAGGCAAGGGGTGGGTAAAGCAAAAGCAGCATATTTTGTGATTAGAAAAGTGTTCTTGGTTCATTTCCTGTATTTTCATAAAATACCATTCCTGGTACGTTAATCTACATCAGAGAAGGTCCAAAGTGTGTTTTCAGGTTACATGTTGATTGGGAGGCAGGAGAAAATCCATCTTTTGGAACAATAAGCACACTGAAATATTGTTAAGAGCTAAAAAGCTGACTGGGCTGCGACTTTGCACTGCAGCTTGCTTTAGACTTACATTGCTGAGAGCCGTAATATAATTACTTATCATTGCTTAACTTTGAACCTTGAAGGAAATGTCCTTCAAAGCTCACACTTTAAAAACCACCACATAAGGAGCCTACTACTCCTTCTCCACAAGAAGGCATTCCAACATCCCCAGTGCATCCCATGCCTCTGAACTGCACCAGGCACCTCTGAGCCCAGTTTCAGGCCTGGGACTCCAAAAATAACTGTTGCACTGCAACGTGACAAGATGTTACAGATAAACTGGAAGGAGTAAGAATTATTGCCTGTAAATTTTGCACTTTATACATGTATATATACACATATATACACACACACACTTTCTGAATTCTACTGAAGTAAGTTGTATGGATTTCTAGTTTAGCACTTACAAAAAGTGCTCTCTGATGAAGAAATCAGGAAGTGGAAAACCAGGCATCAGATGATGGTATAGTTTCAGACTCAGTCAAACCCGATTTAACTCAAAGAAATTCTGTCACCGACACCCCGCCTCCAGTGCCTTTATTTGCCCAGGCAGGCACTCAGCAGTGGCTCAGACATCCCCAAACTCCCGCTCCAGGATCCTGAGCCTCCTCGGGGGAGACAGATGGTGAGTTTTTCCACAAGTACTTGTTAACTGTCAGCTCCAACTGTGAGTCACAGTTAGCAGGCAGGTTAAAGCACCACACCATGCCAAGGTGCACAGAAAGCTGAACAGTCAGGCGAGCAACCCGGTGACCAGAGAAGAGGCAGGGCTGGAGGCTGTTGCACCTCCACACCGGTGGGCTGGGCTCTCATGGTCAGCAAGAAGTGCAAGAACAACAGCCAGAATCAGTTTGCTTGATAGGTATCTGCCAAGAGAAGACTTGACACCCTACCCAGTGGCTTGAAGAGATGTCTCCTCCAGCCCCCATACTGCCCTGGACTTGTGGAGTCTTGGCCCCATGGCTTTGTACACTCCTGGGGAGAGCAGCAGCCACTGTTAGGAGAAGTTGAGGGTCCTCCCAAGACCACATTTTATGGTTACTTGAAAATTAATAGAGGGAAACATTAATAGAAATGTGAAACAGGGATGCAGAAGGACATGCACGGAGTGCCTGTGCTGTAAATGGAATAATCACATGTTTTGGTGAGCAAAACCCTGAAGAACATGGATGAGCCCTGGAAAAGGAATGCATTAACCATGGAGACCATGCCAAAAGCTCTGCCAAACCCCCCTGTCGGTGTCACACCATTCCTCTCCCTTCCCTGGGGCAGCTGGAATAACTAAAGATGCAAAATGCTTCATGGTCCTTCAGCAGAAGCTAAAAACCCTCAAAAAGCCAAGCTGCAAAGCCACTCCACAGTGGGAGTGAGGCACCAGTGAACCTACCAGACCCCCATCCCAAGCACGGCCCCTGCTCTGCCCATGGGCGCAGCCCAGTGAGCCAAGGGCAGACGTGTAAGAACAGTTCGTCTCAGCAAGGCAGAAACTCAAAGCCATCCAGTTTGTTTGGATTTACTTTTCCTCGAGGATAAGACAGGATATGTTAGCTTATTTTGCATTTCTATGTCCTAAGCAAAAACAAACAAGCAGGAAACAAACAAAAAACATCCAGCAATACCGCCTCTTCTAAAGAGAGCAGCCTTGAGAAATCTTACTGATCACCTGGGTACGATGCTAGAGCTGGTTCGACTTTTGGCAGGGAGGGAAAGAGAAGGCAAGAAGGGCCCTTGGGGACATGGGGAACCTCTAATGTTTTCAAGGTTAGAAATCTGTCACCTTTTTAGGGGAGACAATTCTGAATGTAGGAAACAAAAGATTTCATTCTGATACTTTTTAAAGTACTGTTCACTTTTCATTATTTTTCAGTTAAAGAAGCAAAGCTGGTAGAAAAATTTGATCAGAAACCTTGCTTGATCTTTTCTTTCTCCATAACTTTAGAAGAAAGAAGCCGAGAATGCCTCCTCCATAGACCCCCACTTTTTATAGCTATTCCAACTTTTCCTGTGAAAGGATGAGGGGAGGAAGTGAGAAAAAACAAGTCCTAGATTTTAGGCAAAAATAAGATTTCTACAAAAATACATTACATAAAAATTCTACACATAAGTCATTAATTTCTAAAGTAAAACCCATTAATCTACACCTTTTTTTTTTTAGTTATAGGTGTTTGCCTACCAGTCACTGGTGTTTTGCAAATATAAATTCAGCTGTCTGTAATTCCTTAAATGATACATTTAAAGCTTCATACAGATGCCTGTTATTCACCCTCTGCTGTTGTACCACTACAAAGGCTGCCTACAACCTGGCAGAAAAGCATCACCACCCCAGGTCACCAAACACTCGGTGTGAGCGTACAGCAGCCCGGCCGTAAGGAACAGCAGCATCACTTACACAACCCACTTGCCAGTTGCTTGCAATCCTTTCACATGTCAAGAAGTCAGATTCATGAGTTATCTCCTGACCAAAATAATTTGGTGACAACCTTTTTAATATTCTTATTTTAAGAAATGGGCTAAGGTCCCCCATGGATGCTGTCCCCAAGGTCTAGATGACAACAGCTGCATGGGTTTTTGTGTGTGCATGGTTGGTTTGTGTTGTTTATTTATTTTTTTAACAGGACCATATTGGGTTTCAGCTGGAATCAGGACAATGACTCTGAAAACCAGATGATGTGCCAGCAGGAACTGAGGAGTCTGAATAACACAGACAGAATTAACCTCCTGAGGTGTCCCTGTAGAAGAAAAACCATAACCATTGCTTCTGCTTAAAGCCTGCACTTTCCCAAATACAGCTTGAAGTTCAGAGAAATGAGAATTACTCAGACACCACAGGCTACCAGAGCTGGTCCTGCAGCATACAGCACAAGGGAAAAGCTGCAGGCTGAGCCTCTTCGCACCACCACCCAGCTTCTGCTCCAAAACGTAAGTGCAAAGTTGGTAGGAACCATCTACTGGTAGGATGCCAGGTCAGCCCAGATAGTGCACATCCTGTCTGCTCCAGTTTAACTACAGAACTCCTCAACTCAAACATAGAACAATCTAGTCCCAGAGGGGAAGCCCCCAACCCTGGAGTTATTTTCCTTCTAACAAATGCATATTTTCCTCTAACAAGAATGTGAATAGCATAAAATAATTAATTACCCAGATACGCAAAGCCAGTATGAGAGAATCCCCTGGTTACAGTGTTAGCATTGCAGAGCTTATAATTAAACTTCGATTCCTTTACAACTCGAGACAAGTTCCAGACAGTGGGCTGAAAATACATTTCAAACAGATCTTCAACATTCAGGACCATCTGTTTCCTTTTTGCGTGAAGTATTTTTATTTGCTGCAAGTAATAAGCTTAAAACAGATTTTTAAGAGGTTTGTTATTAATAAAGGAATATGAGAAATTCGCAGAAGGGTGAGAGAACCACATTCTGCAGCCTGGGGCTGCTCAGGAGGACTCTGGGCACGTGTTTTGAAGGCGCCATTTTGTGTTACGTCCCTAAACCCAGTTTCAGGTTCCTAAATAAATGGGATTTCATCTCCAGCACTAAATGCTGTTTAGGAGAGGAAGATTTTCTACACCTGAATTTTCATCAGGAATATATTGGTGAAAGGGCAAAATGCAATTCAGCAGACTGGAGTTTAGCCAGAATATTTGGGTTAACGGCCCTACTGCTGCTAAGTACCACAAGTACTTACTGAATCCACACAGGGAAGGGGGTAAGCAGGGGTGTCCTCTGGGGCAGGACACCTCGTATCCTGCCACAGCACCCCAAGGAGCATCCCTCTCACCAACACAGGGCTTTACACCAAGGCCGAGCTGATCACTTGTACATACCAAAGAGCCAGGTGATACCATCTGTGATGGCAGACAGGGACCTAAACGCGTTAGATTTCCGATACCCAGTCAGATCTTACGTTATGCCAAGAGGCTGCATCACCACTGGAAACTCAGCAACAGCTTTATATAAGCACAGCAACCTTCAGGCAGAAAGTGTGTCTATTATTAAAGCTCTGTTTTGGCCAAGACAGGTATGTGAAATATATCAACACCAACTGGCAAAAATGCATTAGCTGCATCACTAAAAAAAAAAAAAGAAAAAAGGAAGAGAGACCCTGTTCTCCTTGGTTGTCCTTTTACCCACAGGAGCACCAAGGATCTCAGCCCTCCTCCACACCCTTCCCCAAAAGCCAGGCTGTAACATTTTCTCTCACACCATGCTGCCACGGTTTGAATTTTTCATCACAAAAGCAACTAAGCCAAGGCAACACAACACCCCCTGGGCCAGGGCTCCACATACAGCCAGGGGGCCAGCCCAGCAGGGTGTCACTAGAGCAGCCACCACCAGGACTCGAGGCCCAGCACTGCTACCCTGTGGTACCTGTTCAGGCCCAGCCAGGGAGAGCCAGCGCCTAATAGCACCTGAAAACATGCTCACAAAAGCCAACAGCCATCTTCCAAACATAATTATGTACATAAAGAACTAAATGAGGCTCCAGCCTTCCAGAAAGCCAAGATCTTCACCTGAAGGAGCGAGCAGGAGTAACCAATAGGAACACCGCCTTCCCCCGCCATCTTGCGCCACACCGCTCCCTCACAGCCACGCGAGCCCTTTCCCCTCCCGGCTCCTCTCTTCCCCACCACAAAGCAGTGGCTGCAGCAGCCCCCAGGTCACTCACCTGTACTGGTCACAGCCTGCACTGCCATACCTCACAGGATGAAGCCCTGTGATCGCATCCCAGGCCCAGAAAGCTCCCCGTCCCCTCAGGGCAGCTTTCCTCCTCGCCCCTCAGAGCAGCCACGGCCCAGGTGAGGGCACAGCTCTCATTAGCACCTCCCCCAGCATAACGAGGCCCTACAGGTGCGGGGTCAAATCCCACTTAGCAGCCAGGCAGTAAGGCTCCACAACCACTGATTACCCCAGCACTATGTATTTGCTCCAGGTGAAGCTTGGTGGAAGGGACAGAGCCAACCTGTGACACAGGAGGTTTCTCACACAGCCTCACCACATGGAGCCTGGAGAACAAGTGTGTCTGTGCTGTATACATTTACCCTGGGACAAGGGCACCATTAAGGCTCAATTCTGCTTGCTGGCACCCAAAACTTGTGGTTTGGGCAGTGCTACTTTTAATACTGATATCAGAGCATTTACCACTGGGATTAGGACCTAAAGTTTGCATGTTGGTGCAATAGCAATGAAGTGCTGAAGTGTTTATTGCATCTGGCTGGGCCCTGTCAGCCTTTTATTTACTGCAGTCAGTCCCTAAATCTGTATTGCATCTGCTGTCTGCATAAATAATGAATAAAGCAATAAATCTGACAGGGTTACCCAACACTTTCACTCAGCTTGTCTTGAACCTGTTAAATTCTGCTGTGGTTCACCCACCTGGCTGGGCTGCAGAGAGATGCTTCTGGGGGAAGAGGAGGGGAGGGAAGCAGAGGAAAACTTCATTTCTGTGGCCTGCTTTGGAGCTTCCAAAAACCAATTTCCTTTCAACTGAAATCCTGCTTTCTCTCTCTCTCTCATTTTTATTTTGAGGCACATTTCTTTATATATTATGGTATTTTTTCTTTCTGCTATTTTTCTTTAATTCACCAGTGTAGTACATAAACTTTACACCAACAGTGGCACTGCTTACTCTACATTCCCTGCACTACCTCTGCCATCTGATACCAGGTATGAGACAACAAATGATAGGACTTGGTAGGCCTAATATGCAAACAGCCTCAAAAAAAAAAAAAAGATATTTAGATATGTTTTATAAATATAAAGCCAGTTTTATACCTGGAAAAAATGCTTCTTCCAGCTTAAATTAATGGTTGTTCCTTCACAACATAAATTGCTAAAGCTTTACTTTTACTATATGGCATTTTTTCCCACAGAATGACTGCTTTCTGTGCCATGCACACTCACCGTTTTCTTCAGTCCTTACACCTTTTCTGGATCTCACCATACTCATAGCATATTACATAAATTTCTGCTTGCCCCAGCTGACTTCTTTGTTAATAGATGCTCCATCTTTGGCATATTTATTTCTTTTTCCCCACTGTTGAAAGAAATTATCCAACAGCAGTAAAATCACAGTTACACTAATGAACAACTCCATGTCATGGATTTTTCTTATTTTACAGCAAAAAAAAATCAGCAGGTTCAACATGCTATTCAGTTACCTTTCCAGTCATGTTTCTCCATTTCATAATAATTCATATTCTTTTACCAAAAGCTCTGCCAGTTTGTACCTTCCGCATCATTTTGTCAGCTTGATTGTGGCTTTGTTTTTGCCCTGAATTTTGAGCTGGCAGTGTGAGAGGCGTATTCCTAGAACGTGTGAGACATCAGGACCTGCCTTTTACTCTACATCATCGCTATTTATTTTTTGTCATCCAACTGTATTTTTATGCAGGAGCACTTGATATGCAACAATGCACACACTGTCAAGGAGACCCTGACCTGGGACAAATCTCCAATCTGTACTTTGGTTTTGGAACCATAAACACAACATGCTGGGAGCACAATCCTGCCCTGTCCTCCAAACAACCATCTCTATTCTCAGTGGCAGATGCAGTCTGATTCACCCGACTGCACTTGTTAATAATACAGAAGTAAGGTGTACTTTATCAATGGATGCGAGTCATTGTTCCCTTCCAGTTAAATCCAAAAAAGATTTAACCACCACCCAAGGAAATTTGCATTTCACATATGCAGAGTGAATAAAATCTCCTTTTTTCCTTGCTCTTAGAAGCCCTTATAAACTGTCAAAGTCAACTTAGCAGAAGAGATTTACACAAAAATCTTAAAAAATTCCTTTGGATCTATTTATCTATTTACAAGACCGAATGCACATGACAGATATCTTTTAAGAACCTGCTTAGGAAAATTACATAAACCATGTTAAAAAAAAAAAAAAAAGCCTGGTGCCATTCCCCACCCATCCTTCTACTTAGTGGTGCTGTAAACCTAGTGAAACTCTTTAAATCACCCTGAGTAAAATCACATTGTGACTGCACTTGTGCCCTGTTTGTGGTATTGTGGTTGAATGCCCGGTTGTGTGCCACTGACAGCAGCTGGTGCAGGTGTGCTGTTGGGAAGTGCCCCAGGTGGAGGCGAGGTGTCAGCTTTTCCCTCTCCCCCAGCTGTGCCTTTCCCCCTGCTGCCCTCTCCAAGCGCCCTGCCCTGGGAGCTCAGTGCAATGTTCCTGCAGCCCCTCTGTGCCTGCAGTACCTGAGCCCAGGTACTCCCAGGATTTTGCACATAAACTGCCTGAATCCAGAGTTCCAGATGTCTGCAAATCTCAGCTGCCCTCAAAGAAGGTAAAATCAAGTTTCTGGTAGAAAAGAACCCATCTTATCTGTCCAGGCAGGCTGAGGGACACGTGCAATATCCTTTCTGAGCGTACTTTCAAGACCAAGCCCCTCCAACGTTTCTTCTAAGGCCACCTAAAGCTAGCCTCAAACACAGGCAAGCAGCATGGACAGGCAGCCAAACTGGCCTTCAGCCTGCTCAGCTCAGTACTGTAAATGCAGCTCGGTGGGTCAGGAAGGCAGGAGACTGCCTTATCTCCCTTGCCAACCTGCTTCACCTCCAGCCTTCTGCATCCAGGAGCTCTGTCTGAGCTTCTATCAGGTCACGCTATGACAGATCCGTGCTCCTCTGGTTTTTCTCTCTTATCTTTTGGTTGCTTTGTGATCTGTCATCCACACGTTAACCAAGCAGACAGCAACAATTTGCAGGCAATCACCAGGAAAAAACAACGGTCCGTTTAGCACAATGTTTTGCATTGTCTCAGGCTGTCCTGCTCCCCAAACAATGTTAAACTGCTTCCTCCACTTGGCATGAATGACGGTGGATGCTGTGCCCATTAGCACAACGGCAGCTACATCAGAGGCATGCTTCATGGAAGCCATTTATGTCTTTTAAACTGACTACGCTTTTTTTTTTTTTTTCCCTACTGGCATTTTCTTTAATGTTTACAAGCTCTAGAACTACCTTCCTTCCTTCTTCACAGAATATTACCCTTTCCCTGCCAGATCTCCAGCTGGAATAAATTTGGCCTCCAAACCCTGATTCAATTAAATGATGTCAACATGTGCATTCAGTTAAACAGGCTGTTTGCATGCTTAAAGCTTACAGATAAATGCTTGGCTTGTGGAGGACTTCAGATGCAATTCAGAGGACATGCCCAAGTCCAGCCTGTGGACTGTGATATACTTCAGTATACCTGTGAAACAACTCGCATCCCAAACCAGCCTTTCTGAATTAGGGAATACCAGGCACTTCCCAGGCACCTGTTTAATTACAACCTGATATTGTGGAACATAAACTTCACTGAATAATGTAATTCCTTCAAACACAGAACTGTAATATTTGACTAACTGAAGCATAAATACAGTTCACCTAGGGCAAGAGATAAATTACATTAATAAAGTGTGGTAGTGTTAATTAGTTTGACCATGCATGACAGAAGATGGTATTACTGAAAAGCTCCATTTCCAGAAGTGAGGAATTGGTGCTGTAGATCCCAATCTCTGTTTTGGTGTTGGTTTTGTTTTTAACAGCTTCATGAATTGATAGAGTATTGCTCTAAAGAGGATTTCACAGAACAGGCAGACATGAGCTTGTCAGCAGAAGCTGATGCTGCTGTCCTTGTCATTTGGTGTCCATAAGCTGTTTCTCTCTCATGCCTGGATTCAACTGTGATCTCCTCCTAACAGATCCTACAGATCTTCATACTCAGACCTTGAACCCACTTCTGTTTGGGTCAGGTTCCTGCACCATGCTCCCTGCTGTGGCCCTGTACTTTGCTTTTCAAAGGCCAGATTCCTACTTCACTGATGCACATGAATAAATTACAAAACATATCTTAAGGTATCCAAACATATCTATATATCTGACTACTGGGTAACCAGTACTGATACCTGTCTTCAGAAATCGGTGCAAACGCTTCCTTTGAATTTGCTGAATCAGAATTGTACTCTTTCTGAACTCAGCAGCTGTTTTTCTTTTGACATGCAAGAATGTATGGATTGTGGCTGAAATTTACAGCTGATTATGGTTCCAGAACAGCTTGTATCCCCAGACAGCACAGTCAGTCCTGCCAGAATACAGGCATTCTGCTGTCACCAAACCCCACTTCTATAAGTCAGCTTCACTAAGGTGGATAAAAAGGTCTTTCCTGCCCATCGATCACACAAATCCAATTTGGAGACTTGTTTTCTCTACATGACAGTTACAGGAGAGAGACCTGATTAAATATTTCTGTTCTGATCAAGAGGCATCTGATGGGTAATCCCATGACTGCAAACTGAATCCTTCCCCACAGCTCAGCTGCACGCTCTGCCCCAGGGGCTGTGCTGAGCTCTGCTTCTCCCAGACCCGTGAAACAACACACCTGGATACCAGCACACGATGCATTTGTAGCTTCAGGAGCAGAGACTGGGCTTATTCGTCTCTGTACTCTTATCCTTGAGAACCAGCAAAGAGTGCTTCCAATCTAAGGACACTCAAGGTTTTCCCAGGTTTCCTGAAGTACATGCAGAACAACTGTTCATCCACTCTCGCACACCTCTCCTTAACGCCTTCCAGTTAAAACACTGACCGAGTTGATGGCACACTTCATTAGCACCCAAACAGCCAGATGTCAAGGCTCCACATGCTGCCTATTTATCAAGCAGCACTAAAGGCTGTACTAACAAGTCCGACGATACGGAATGTGATTTACATTTCACATGCAACCCTTTCCCTCCAGGAATGTTCTGTTACAGGTCTTTTCATGGCACGGGCACAATAACTGATCGAATGTATTTCTTGAAGGTATGCCAATAGCTACTTGCTGTGTTTTTCTGCTTAGTAGTGGAGACTGTGGCGTTGATGTTGCCCTTGATTGAATAACTGAGGATTAATTCCTACAGAACAGGTTACCCCAGCATTACCTTTGAAATCAGAATCAACATTACAATAGTTGAATAATTACAGTCAAGTAAAGAACAGCAAAGCACAGAGGCTTTGCTGTTTTCTCCAAAACACTGTAGCTCAGACCCTTTTGGACCAGTGCAACTCAAAACAGCATTCCCACTGATGCCAACTGACATCATTGCACTTAGTCTAAAGGTAACGCGGAAGCACGGTGGACTTCCCAGGGTGAGCACAAATTTCAGAGTGCATTCTTGTTTCTGCCAGTCTGCTTCAGCAACATGCTTAGCCCACTGCTGTGCTGCCCCCGACCAAATGTTCTGACAAGTCTGACAGTCTTCAGCTCAAATCACTTCTCTTGTCCTTCAGCTCCTTTTACAATATCGTGCCCTTTATTCGGCTCACTGTGGAACGTCTGAAACACTCCATGACACACTCATTAGGTGGATTTGAAAGAAAATCCCCCCGAGAAAACTCACCTTTGAAAAAGTTCCTATTGGAAAATTTTAGTGCTCCCAGCGGATACAAGGACAGCAGGAGGAAAGCAGATTTCATGTTTGCATGTAGTGTTAAATAAGCTTTTGATTCCAAGCGAAGTGATACATTCTTTTTTGTTTTTAACTGGGGACACAATTTAAATGATTTCCTTTTATTCTAAGAGATTATTGTTTTCCTTCCAAAATACCTCATTATAATTGTTTTTTTCTAAAATTAAGGTTCTAGACACAGACAAAAATAATTACTCTCAAAGCTCCATTTAAAAAAAAAAAACCCACTGGGTTCCTTTTAAAGTGGCAATATCAATGACTTGTATTGAAAGAACAACAAATAAAGGCACTTTCTGCCTCTCCCTAGCTACCTTTTAAAAGTCTGTCCACCAATCCAATGGTTCCATCTGTTTCCAAAACAAAATTGCATTTTACTACTAGGATATTCTCTATCCAAATGCTGAACAGCTTGTAGCTAAGTATTAATCCATAAAAACCTGAAAACAATACCTTATTAATTCACAGAAGTCAATATTCCAGTACACATTTTGGAGCCAGTTCATTACAGTTAAGCTCAAATTTATACCACAGTCAATGGAAAACTTTCCAAAATGTTTTACTTATAATGAGACAAACCGGTTGCTAAACCTCATTCTACCAAATACAAGGTCTGTGACAGAAATCTGATTTAAGGAAAAAGTGAACTTACAGTATATGTAATCCTGGTGCAGTAGTTATCTCTTCGTTAACACAGAATGACACAGGTATTCTTTGGTTTTCTAAAATATCCTGTAGCTGGGATATTTAAAAGAAAAAAAGACCAAGCTCTATACCTGTTCCAATGACAATTCTTCACGAAGACTGTCCTTCAATTCAAATATCCTTGAAAAGGCTGTGCCATCAGAACAGGCTTAATCACATAAGTCTGGGTGTCCCGTCACATTCCTTTGCAAACTAAATCCTATAAAGGCTGATTTTCCTAAATAGTTCTAATATCTTCAAAAATAATTGGGGGTAGGGGGAGTAAAAACATCCGAAGTCTCTAACTCTAACAATGGTGTTTTCACTGGTAATTCAAATTTCAAATACAACAACTACTGACACCAATAAGAATTCTTCCATTGGTTTCAGTACATATCTGTTCTGAGGTCCTAAAAATAAATGAAGCCTAAAATTCAGAGAAATAAAAGTCTATTGTCACTCAATACATACATACATATAAGCCTGCATACGTAGAGATATAGATGCATCTTTTTGTATGCATGCAAATATATGATTTTTATTTATTTTTTTGCTAATTATGGAAAAGCTTTCCATTACTGACAGATAAAATACGATCATTGTTTACATGACAATATCAAGCTTTAAGATTTTCCCTCCTGTTCTCCCTTGTTCCCAGAATGAAAGTGCTTCATGAATCATGAAGGTTAAATACAAATAACTTGCATTACCATTCGCAGAAGACATGTGGTTAATCGCTGTCTGCCTTTATTGTTAATTGCGGAACAACAGTGCACGGAGCACACCTACCACAGGCTTCCGAGGGTAAACAAACACAGCATATGCCCTAATTGCTTGCATTCTCTTTAGATCGCTTTTTTCCAAAACAACAAGGCTAAAATTCACAGATCCTGTCCCTAAATCTCCTTTCCCTTACACTAATTTTAAACAGGTCAGATCCTCTGGCTGAGAACTCCTGTGCTACTCCAAGTCAGAGAAGAGTCATGCCAAGTAAATTAAGTAATCTGCTCTCTATCCTCCATACACAAGCTGGGTTACTTCCACTCCTGCTTCTGTTGAAAACACTGAGCTGAGCTGATGTTCCTTCCAACACCAGAGAGTAAGATGTTTGTATCAGCCACACCCTGCTCAAAGGAAAAAAACAGAATGGAAAAAAAAAAGAGATAAGATGGTGTAGGGAGATGGAGCAGCTCCATCATTTGACCGATCATTTTGTCCAGGTTTAACTCCCTTAAGGAAAGGCGAAAGCTTTGGCTGAGGGATGCGGTCACCCTGCTCTACCCTGCTGGTGTTCGCAGCCCCCCTGGGCCCTTGCCAGCCCTTCCCCTAGGTTATCAAAGAGATTTCTCCTTGCTGTCAAGAAGGAAAAAAGAGGGGCCAGCAGGCAGGAGCCCCAGGACAAGACGCCCTGCAGTACATTTTTCTGTGAGGTTAAACCTGGCTGGTCACATATTTCCCCTTTCAAAATAAACATTGATCATGCCAGGAATTGTCCTGTAACATGCAGCGCTTCAGCCTCCCTGCAAACTGTAAACGCATCAGTAGCCTGGAGCCCAAGCCTCACAATATGCAAATCCAATCGGATTCACCAGATGAGATGCGTTGTCAAAGGGTCTCCAAGACAGGGGAGTGCACAGATTAGAGACAGCACATTTCTCTGATCAAATCAATGCATTTAGACAGGAAAACAGCAAAATATTTGCTGGAGTGATACCCCATCTGTGTGCCATTTCTCTTGAGCTTCCACGTCACGTTCGTGTTAACTTCCTCATTACTGGCCCTCACAGCCATTTTATTTTTTCCTCACTTTTCTATGACATGAACCAAGTTCTGCTAGAGAGCAAGCACTTCTTCTCATTGCATTTAATTTTCTGTCTATAGAAGCAGACTAGCAAGAACCATATTTCCCAGTCTATTCTCGGCCATGCCATGTTCCTGACACACAGCCTGAAAACCTTGGAAGGCAACAACTTTGCCAAAAAATTCAGGTTGCCACGCAAGGAGATAAAATCAGTAACAGAAGTCATTAAGGAGCTGGAGGTGCTACTTTGCAAGGGAAGACTGAAAAACCTGAATTTGTATAACCAGGCTGAATGACAATTAAATTAGCATATCCATGAGCTACCAAGTAATTAAAGCCCCAATTTCCAAAGACTTGGGAATCAACAGGATTTAGGCACCTGAATGGCTCCAAAAAGCCAGGTCTGCAGGCCAGAATCTCTTTTTTCCTCACTCTTTTAGGGAGGATTTTTAGTTTTGCCATCACATCTCGGAAACCAGCAGAGTTAGTGAAACTTTGAATAACTCCATACAGGAAAAGCAACAGAATCACAGCTGAGGGAATTAGAGGATAGTTAGGGTCATCTGTCGAAGCGTTGACAATTAATGGGGTAAAACTGAAATAAAAAAGCTGTAGTATAAGGTGAGGGTCTCTTACTTCCAGATCAGTGGCAACAGAGAAAAGAGTAGGAGTGGAAAATGAAAGTATCAGTTTCTGACACATTGAAAAGTGATCAGCCAAAAGACTGGTGAGGAGAGCATTGCTCTTGCAAGTGAATGAACGCTTACATGTAATTCATACATTGCCTTTATAAAACACTGCATCTTGCGGCTCTTCACAGAGCAATACTCCTGGATCCTCGCAGGCCTCCGCAAAGCTGGCAAGTGGCAGTTCTGTACTTCCCACGTGGAGGCACAGAGGAGGGCGCATGATGGGCCAAGGCCTCCCTGCGGGCCAACAGCAGAGCTGGTCAAGGGGCCCAAGGGTGTGGAGCCCTGCTGGGAGCTATCCTACCTCTCCTTGCTGCCTGTTTCCGTTCCTGATAGCTATCACTCTTTAAAGATGTCATTAAAATCCAGATAAAACACAGCAAATACTTATTATTAATTTCCTAAGAATATACAGGGGTGTTTTTTTTTCCATTGATTCTTGGCAGATTCTTTCCTGAAATTTGCCGGATTGGTACAAAACCAAATACGTACAAATTAGCAATATATGACATGACATGAATGGGAACATTCACACTCTTTAATCATTCCCACAAGCATTTTGTCATCTTTCTGTCAGTTCTGCTCATAGGAAAGGAAAACACTTCGCAATTTTAATCTCTTTCCCCCAAGCACATTTAGTTCTTAAAGCTAATGCATCCAAAATGGGGGAGACTACTGAGAAGCAGGGAGGAGCTCTCTGTTTCTTCATATTTCAGAGGGAACAAACATCTACTGGCACTTTCTGCAGCCATCTCACTCCTCCCCTCATCTCGTCACCTCCCTAAAATAAGCAAAGACATTTTCTCTGTGAACCTTCCTGAGAAGGAGGACAGATACCTCCAGCCAGTCCTCATGATTCAGCCAACAGTTTGCAACAGCCACTGGCTGCCTCTGCCCAACCTCGATGTAAGGTCAGAACCTCACAGCTGTATTCTCACATTTTCAAAACTGCACCATGTCAAAGGCGTGGAGGCAGAGGAGAAACAAATGGTGAGCTCAAGAGTTGGTGATGAGCACCACAGCCCTGCCATCCTCCCTGCCCAACCTGGGGGAATTTTGCTGCTGTCTTTGGATTTTGTTTTTGTACGCCCTTTCTTGCACACCACAAAGCAAGCCCTGAGCTCTGCACAGCACATCTAGGCATAATCAAAAACAATATGATAAATCTGTGACAAATATGATGCAATATGATGTGCTGCAATAATATGACTACTGCACAGAATATGACATTGCACAGAGGAAAACAAGAATGGCTGGGAAAATATAAAAGGATACAACAGGCCATTATTTGTTTGACAAGAACCAAGTAAGATATCACAAGAAGGGAAGGGATGAGGAATTACACCATCTGAAGGCTCTCAGCTCCTGAAACCTGTGACTGCCAGTGTTCACAATACAGCTGGGACTTGCAGATATCAGGCCCAAAGGGATTCGAGGGTTCACCTTGTGCCCCAGAAGTCAGTAAAGCTGCCAGCAACTGCAGAGATTTTTAATTGGGCAGCATGAAAACAATAAGGCATCGATGATTTTTGATTAATTAGGCCCAAAAAGCTAGTGTGGTCATTCAGAAGGTAGTCTGGCTCCATAAGACACAGAATTAACTCTTCACAAAGGGATTCTTCCATGTAACATGTCCAAAGCGTGTCTTACAAACAAGATGGGCAACTAGATATTGTGAATGTAGATATTTAGCCATCCCCCAAATTAGATACATCTAATAAAAATCTTCTCTCACATCAGTTTATATTGCATTTCTTGGCTAGGATCCATTTCCTATGAATATAGAGTGCGCGTTTGTGCCTATTGCTTTATCTTTTTCATGCCTCTCAGACCTAGCTATTATCCATCTTGCCAACAGTTATTTATTACTCTGTGATTATAGGCAAAGTAGGTAATGACCTATTAAATCACAAACCAACACTTATTATCACCAAAACCAAACTCCAATTGCCAGAAAAGAATTGCTTAATTTCATATGTGGTTAAGAGTTTACTATTTTTTTGCAGTGAGATAATAGATGGTCGTTGCAAACCTTTTTCCCAGGAAACTGGCAGTTGCAGTAAGTACTCTATAGCTCATTTTTAAACTGTAAACAGAGGAATTGTTCTTGATACATATTCCAGGCATAGAGCTATGCCCCAGGGTAGATGAAAACAATAGCAAATTTATTTTAGGTTTTACCTTATAATGTGCTCTAAAAAAGTGTTGGCATTTGTCAGCAAACTACCTTCTCTCTTTGACCAGCTAGAGATGGATTATGCAGGCAGGTGATGCAGACAGCCTTCCTCTGATCACACTGAACTCTCTCCAAAAACGAGACATGACTGCCTGATTGAGGACCAGATCCAGCATAGATACGGGCATGTTCTTCCACCTGCAGCAGGAGAAACAGAGAGGAAGAAAAGAGGTGCCAAAGCTTTGCGCCATCTTTCCAAGGAAATGCTCCTTCTACAGACCAAGAGAGCCAAGTATCAGCCTGCATCATCACTTGTGCATTTATGTTCTTATGATTCTGGATATATCATTCGTATTGGCTCTGACACACACACCAAGTCATACAGTGGCAGAAACAAGCCCTAACAAGGAAACATCAAGAAACAAACGTGATAGATATTTAGATCAGGTATAAATCAAATGCACATATTCTGTGTCAGATACTATATTTAACTGGTAATCAAATAACTTACCCAAGAGCCATTGCTAGCCAGAGGCTGAAAAATATTACTTGGAAAAAATTCAAAATCAAGGCCAAACAACAAAGAAAAATGTAGTTAGGTTTGACATGCCTAAATGAAAGACTTTTTTGATAAGCAACTGCAAGCCTTCTGCCAGGGCCTGACTGACTGCCAAAAGGCTGCGTTTAAAAAGATTGCTAGCAAATCACAGGCTCAGGCCTCCCTCCCAAAACCTGTGAAGTTGAAAATAAAGAACTCTGCAATGTTCGGTGAGTTACCTTCCCTACTCCCAACAGCAACCAATGTAGCACAGAAACACTAGTGCAGTAGATAAAGCAGTTGTACATGTATGATACCTGCACGGAACACCTAAGTTCATGAAGAATTTCGTAGTCTGTCCTCCAGGCAGGTGGTTCCTAAGACAGCTAGGTACTACCTTCCTTTTGCAGTACCATCGCACTCAGAGGTCAGGATGTAGCCAGCAGTAAAGCCTAATTCAAGTCACAATGGGCCTGGGACAAGCTCCATCTCTGCTGCCAGGTAATCCTCTCCCCATTCCCTCTGTGCTGACCTAACTAGAGCACGTTTTCTCCCACTTACTTTCTTAGCAAAAGCACACATGGTACTGAGCCCCCGCGCAGTGCTTGGACACACAGACACCCCCCCTCAGTGTGACTTTCGCTTTTCAGCTGAAGGAAGCTTTTCCAGAAATTGATTTCCAGGCTTCAACTTTTGCATCCTAATAGCTGAAGCCATCACCTGCCTACATTTAGGGAGGCATTAAGCATGCTTAGGAATAATAAATCATGTGCTGGTCCAGTGGGGAACTTTTCATTATAATACATTTCATTTTTAACATAATTTTTTCTCAAAGAAAACAAAACAAAATATGATAAATGTTTCGGCCCCTTCAGGCCCTTACATTTATCTTCCCTTCAGCAGAGCGTTTTGCTTCTTTTGGGATCCTCTTGCCTCTGAAAATCCGACTCCGCATGACAGGGTGTTTATTTTGATCCAAGACTGCAGTGCCCAGGTTTGTGCAGCCTGAGACAAAACCATGAGAGAGCGTTATTCCCAACCAGTTTTGATCAGGTTTTGCTGCTGTGACAGCCTGAGATTTAAAGTCATTTCTTATGCTCACTTAAATGGCTGAATCCTCAGCTGATACAAGCAAGCATAGCTCTGCTTTTACTTCAGCACAAGATGTCTAATGAAAATACACCTCGACAGCTTTGGAACCCAAAGTGAGGTGTCCCTGAGTGACCCCTCGTACAGTCATGTGGAGAGAAGGGTAAATAACACATTTTCTTCAAATATGTTACTCATTTCTCTTCCAAGAATAGCCCCTATAGACTATCAATAAAATGCCTTTTTCAGATGCAGTTAATTACACAATGGAATGCAGACATCCAGCAAATCTCCAAAGTATCAGTAGAAAACAATGATGAGAGACTTCTGCCCAAGAAAGCACATAAAATGCTAGTTAAAGCATGCTGACTTCTTTCAAAAGAGCCCAAAGGGTCTTAGCTTCCAGAAAACTTTTTTCTGTTACGGGTTTGCTAATACTAATGTGAAATCAGGGTGCTTTGGGCTTCGCCTGTGCACAATCTAATGGAGAGCTTAACTGTCCTTTTTTTTTTTTTTTTTTTTTTTTTTTTTTTTTTTTCCTAGAGCCAATCTCTTGTTTTTCTCCTCCCCATTATAGGGGCTTTCAAACAAAGTCCTGGAAGAAATGTGTACTGAGGGTTCTCAAAATCCTGCAGCTGGGAGAAAAGTGCAAGGGAATTATTACTGTTTCTATTTATTTATTTGTCTTGAAATACTGCCCAGAATGTCATACAACATGATAGGATGCAGGACCTCTGCAGAGAATAATTCACAGTCTAAATAAAAAAGCCCAGCCAAATGCCTCACTGGGTGCTTATACCGTGCCAGTCACTTCTTAGATTCTATCAACCCAGCTGCCAAAGCCAGCTCACAATCACCACTGAACTTTCCCTTCTCTTTGTCCCCACTGCAGCTTTGCATTAAAGCCCCTGCACAGGAAGAGGCACAGTGGAGGCTGGAAAGAGTCAGACCGATGAGGCCTAGATAAGCAGGCTTCCCAGCCACGAAGCAGAGGCGCTCCTTGACCAATCTCATGTTTTCAGGACTGTCCTGGGAGTTCTTTTCTGTCTTGCTTGCCAAGGAGTTGGAGGATCCTTCTTCCTGTCAAAGGTTATGTGGAACCACGCTTGCCATACAACAAAGAAACATAAGTACATTGGCCATTTTAACTGGGATACGTATAACATTCTCTGCACAAAAATAAATACCCCTTAGAATAAAGGAAGAGACCTTTACTGGTTATACAGATACTATTTACAACACAAGAAGATTCATCTCTTGGTAAATTTTGTCCTCCCACTAAAATAGGAAAAATGTCAAGAGTTCAACAAAGTAGAGAAAGTTTACCTCCATCCTACAAAGCAATCTCCCTTTTTTCCTGTTGTTGGCTCTAAGTTTTGTCAGGCAATTCATTGGGAAAATTTTCTATTGAAGTACTTGCTAGGACAGTCTTAAAAAAGTATTAGATTTAAACAGAATTCACAGAACCTATCCAACTGAGAAATAATCCACAGAAAAGGTTGTTCTGTAGAGTCCAAATTCAAAGGCCATGACATTTTGTCTTGTAAGTTGCTTAAGGAAAATTGTAGACGAAAAAAATAAAAAAGATCACGGGGAAAAATCTGTATGAAGCCAAGTCTTTTGAATTCCAACATATATTTGCAGGTCAGTGACTGATAAGTATCCATTAGCTCCACATAGCTCATAAATTTCTTTAACAAAAAACACATGCTTGGAAGGTAATGCACTGTGCTAGTGCCTAGTTCTTTCTATTTCAGGGGGAGTTTCTATGAATTATACCTTCTCTAGCCCAGGGAACCATATGTTACCATATAGCGTGCAATTATATCTAAACATGCTAGGTAGATGGCCCTTCTTGTGCATTTACTGAGTGTATGCTGCATCAAGCACTGCTGAGAAGTGGGTGTCAGGACGGTGTTTGCTGTCCAGAAGGATCTGATAGCTCTGCTCCTCTTTTTTGTGTGTGTGTGTGTTTTTTTTGTTTGTTTGTTTATTTGTTTGTTTGTTTTTACTGCAGTTCCTCCCAGCAGGTGAGAGCTAGTCTTCAGGATACAGCCCTGGATTTTTCTTGCACAACAATGGTGTAAGAGGAATCCTGTTCCAGCCAGGCACAGGGCTCATTGAGTCTCCCTTTACCACTTATGTTGCCTTAACCAGCTGAGTAGGTTCCACAGATACTGATCTCTTCTACAGCTGAGCTTTGGGTTAGTCAGAAATTTGGCGAGAGCTTTGGGCTTCCTTCTCATTGTCTCTGCAGGCCTTGGTTTTGACCTGTTTTCTGGACATGTCCAGGACAACATTAAGATCAGAGAGCTGAGAAACTTTCTTCCAAAAATCAAAATAATTATTTAAAATAAAAATAAGAATTTATTCAGTCCTCATCTGATCATCATATAGCTGTAGCTCTCCTTTAGATCTGGCACCACCACCAAGGAACAAAGCCTTTCACAGACCTAGCCCATCCCTCCCAGCACCCCAGATGTTCAATCACGTGAAGTTGTCCAGGGCCTGCAGAATCCAACTTGCAAATCTGAGGGCACCAAATTCCCTTTCAAAATATCTTCTTTTTTCTTTTTGGAAAATTATTTTTTGTTTGTTTTGTTGCTGGTTCTGTTTGTTTGTTTTTCAGCTGAGACAATTACTACTTGTCATAAATAAGAGCTGCCAGCTATGAAAAACATTCAGTTCACTGTTCGAAAACACTTTATAATTGTTCCTCTCTACAGCAAAGAATCCTCTAACTACTCTGTGGTGCATCCAGCCAACCAGGGGGATGTAGTGCACAGAGTACCCATAATCTATCACTGTCAGTCAAAGGGACTGGAGCCCCTGGAGTGCCCTCACTAAATAGAAAGTGGGGCGTTTGCAGCACACCAGCCAATCTCTTAGGATTACATTGCAAATGAGGATGCTCAAGAAATACTATCATACGGGATGAAAATCGGATACCCAACATGTTAAAATCATGCCCTTACCAGACCTGAGATGTAGTTCTCTGTTTTTAAACTGCCATTTGAGAAAGAGTGGGTATTGATCACATGGAAGAACAAAACAGTTTTTGGTAACGAATGCCTAGCTTAGAGTTGAGAATGAATAGCAATGCTGAAGAAGACATTACTCTTGCAGACGGTATTGCCTGCAGATGAAGACTGCAAGAAATTAGCAAATTGACTAAAAAAAACCTCTTGCTTTAGGTAGCTTTCTTGCAGTGTCTGAAACAGAGCTGGAGCATGGAGAGATGAACTGCTCCAAGCTTGCCTGTCAAGCAATTCACATCAATTCAGACAGATTTTGTTGAGCAAAGTTTTACATTTCCCTTTTATATTTATAGTCTGAACAATCCTAAAGTGAAAAGAAAAAAGTCTTAGTTTAAATAGTTGGGGACCAGTAACCAGGAGAAATTATGTTTCATCGAGCTTTTGAACTTTGGGGAGAAACCCAAAATAAGAAAAGGAATGAAAAAAAAAAAAAAAAAGAGCACTGATAAGTAGCTGAAGGAGTTCACAAAACAGAAAGCCAACGGGGTAGCCAATGATCGTCTTTCTATACACTGAAAATTTTTACACAAAGA